ACCACACCCCTGGTCCACAACAAGCACTTTATCAAGGTTTTATGCACCACGGCTCCGGCACGCCCACGTAACAGCCTATTCGCTCGCGCTCGTTTGTCTGCGCACGAATGACGCGCCAAAAGCGCAGCCGTACGGTGCGAACGAAAATCTGCATCACCAATCACCCGGCCGCTCAAGGCCAGTTCACACGGACCAAAATAACAATGGCGCCGTCTTCCGCACCAGGCGCCAGCAGTGTGGCATTTGTGTGCATGGGTGTATGCAGGTCTGCGAGTGCAACACCCGGCATGAACTTCATAAGCAAAACCTGGTGAACGGACATAAATAGTCGACTTTAAGGCCATCACCTCAGGGCTGACTGGAGCATAAAGTATGCGCATTGGCACACACACTGTGCAACCTAGATGGTCCATCACACAACTCGTGAGTGCGTATGTTTATAATCCTTTTGGGTATGGGTAGCAAAAGCCGGTCTCGGTGTCAGTAGCCGGTAACTATGCGTAGTTTACATGATTCAGCGCTAAAAGATAGAGGGGAATTCGGTCACAGATACTGTCGAGTCTCTTTTAGTATAGCTCACAGTTCTGAAAAAAATTAAATACATGATAAAATGTACTTGAGTCGGACAACTGGTCAATCGTCCTGACCTCACATTTGGAATTTTAAATTGTGCGCAACTTATAATAAGATGTACAAATCATGCACTACTTATAATGAAATTCAACCAAATTGTTTGTAGCCAAATGAACCTTGCAAAAAACGCATTTTTCTGTCTCAATTCAGACAATGGGAGATTCATCCAGCAATCTTGGACGGAATTCTTGCACCATAAAAGCGCCATGTGCCAACGTAATGAAGGACCTCGGCGATAAGCAAAAAACGAAACAGGCAATTTCTGAAAAGGTATGATGTTAGAAAAAGTCAACGAATCAGCCTTCGAAAGGGCCTGTAGTAATTGGCAGTCTAGGTCAAAAACGCTAAATCTCTGGGTAAGATAACTTCGGCTATATGAGCAACATTTTGACCCTGTGAGTACCTGCGACGACTATCGTTTGTATCTTTTATTTTTTTAGTTTGTTTACAGGCATTTCCTTCGCTGTTGTCGACACAACCGGTTTCGTTTGTGATAAAAGTCATGTGGCTAATCAATGGCGGAGTCGTTCTTGCCTCTCATCTTTTCTTCTCTGTGGGCGTCGGCGAAATCGAGGGTTCTTCTGGCGCGACATTTGGACTTCATCAAGCGCAATTTGTAAACATTCTCGTGAAAATGGGGCTATCATTCAATCCTTAATCGCTGAAAGTCTCTCTGTCGATCATCTTATGCTGACTCAGCCTTGTCTCCGGTTTCAGTCCTCTTCGGCCCAGGTATTTCTGGGGGTAGTTAGCGCATGAAATACAGCTCATACAACCATAATGTTCGACTGTGTTCAGTTAGCCTGTAATTAAGATGATATAGTTGTGAATTGCTATGCCTACACATGGCAGTTTTCCACTAGCCTGCATCACAAAATACTCACAACCTCGCTGAAGGCAAGTGTCTGCTGGCGATGAAACAGTAGCCTGGATATAATATCCGGTTTTTAACGTCATAAGTGCTCGCGAGATGACCGCTTCTGCATTACCTGCGTCGACTGTCCCTGTAAGTACATGTGTCAAACAGATGAAAACCGTAGGCTGGACTGAACTGGCGGATAGGCCACTCATGCTCTAGGACGAATTTTTGTCTTTACTGCCGCGATTAAATGTTGACGAGTAAAGCGCGGAAGTGGTTAGTCCTTGACCATTTTTCTTTTCATGTCGCACGATAGACCCAGTAACAATTTCGAAAACCCAGAGCACTGGATTCGTTGTTAAGATGCTGAGCTTCCGCCCACGTCTTCGGCGGAAAAGCATTCCTAGCATCCGTATGTTCTCGTCGACTAGGTCTAGGTAAAGCCTAGATACAGTGGTGTAGTCTTTGACACACCGTCTAAAAAAACTCTAGAACTCAGAAGTAGATAACTGGTCGTGTGGGAAAAGTAATTTAATTTAATTGGTAAAAGGCGACGGCTTGTGTCGCATATGGTCGCATGTGATAAATGAGTGAAGGACGCCAAATTACAGAGAATCACAAATAAAGACCATCCGGTGGTGCCATTACACTTCGCATAGCATCATTTTTGATACTAATTCTTTCTTAAATAATTCCTAGAAGCTCCTCTGGTGATTATGGACAATGGGATGGCCATTTACGGCTTATTAGCTGTCATCAGCCAGGAATGACTGCTGCAATCTCTCACACACTCTTTGTCAGCAACAACCCTCGATAATTGGTTGCCATCATCATGTGGGGGCGCCATTGGCTCCGGGGCCCGAAGTTCCAAGGCAAAACCGAAATGTCTATCAACGCCCCGAAACGAGACAACTTTCGACTAAAAGAATTCTAATGTTCCTCGAGGTGGGTTACGGGAATCGGAAAATATACCCGCCTCAGTCGACGACTGACAGCTTACCTTGCCTTTGAAGGGTGTTGGCCCAGGCTCAGTGCAGCGATGTGTGTCAGCCTTCGGGCCCTTAAGGTTTGTGATCTTCTGCTATGCCATGATTGAGCAAATCGTGGCTCTCGCAGCCTGGTGTGCGCTGGCAGTTTTCTGGCACCTGGTTCCCTGCCGGTAGATGCGCTTGCCGCACACAGGTCGTAAGCGTAGCTACCCAGTCATCCTCCTTTTTCTGATCCGTTGTTGGTTAAAACCCTGGTCAAGTATTTGTTGTGGAACGCGGGGGGTGCGGGTCCGGCCGTGCCATCCACCTGTGCGCTCTCCCGCCTCCGGTCTTCTTGACCATGTCTTGACACCGGGCTCGGGTTTGGAGGAGAGAGTGTGGTAGGTTCTGCGCAAGTCCACCCTCACTATAAACTAATTCGCGCGCCAGTCACCGTATCTGCTTCGTCTTGCTGTGGTGCACACGGTAGATAACATCGATTGCGACGGTCGAACTGTCATTTGTCTCATTCCTTTCTGCTGCACTCGGTTCTTCTTCTTCTTCTTCCTCTTCTTCTTCTTCTTCTTCTTCAGGACAAGGAACATTCACTCCAGTTCGAGCTAACGGTGGCGAAGCCTGATCCAAGGCGACTATCACTCGAGCCTCTGTCAAATTCCTGCCTGCCATAATATTTTAACAGCTTTCCTTATCACTGTTCCAACTTTTTTGGTCGGTAACTTCAAAAATTAAAGCCTGTGAGACGAGAAACTAACTTGGTTTACATTAAACGACACAACTATTATGGGAACCGTTCGAGTCACGGTTTATGAATTTCAGTCACTTTATTGACTAGATATCGTGTCAGAAATGGTAATACGTAGGATTATTATAGTGAGTGACTAATCTCATGAAATGTTGGCTGAAAGTCTGGAGTGCGTTTTCGATTAGGGGGGACTACTTAGGCGCGGTTGTAATACTGATTATCTTACGGCATAATCCTATAATATTTCGGACTCGGCAGGATGTTCGCTTTTGAAGGCACTGCTTTTCAATCTCCCGCAGAAACAGTACTCGGTAAAAAATGTCCACATAAGTAGCATGCATTTTTTACATTGGTTTTCGATGGCCTTGCAAATTCAAATATATTTTATAGAAACCACATTCAAAATAAGCTTTCTTTCAGTCGTTTGATAGCACATCACGTCATTTTTTTATTTCCAACTCAAAGGAGGAGTATAATTAGGTTTCAAGAAAGTTTCCTAATTCGCGAATAATTTGGAGCCCGATCAGCTGTTACATTAGCGCTTAGTGATGTATGTCTACAAGGTGCATGCGTTCCGCGTCAGGAAAATCACACATTCTTCTGTGTCTTTAAGAAGATACTATATTGAGTTCATAAAATTTTGCAATGAATGCGGCCTATGTTGTATATTTCATGAGGAGCAGGGGCGAACGGACAGATAGGATGCTGTATGAATGGGCATTTCACGGTCTTAAAAAATCTCATAATTAGAAACTTTTTTCAAACCTAATTATACTCCTTCTTCGAGTATGAAATAAAAAGATGACGTGATGTGCTATCAAACGACTGAAAGAAAGCGTATTTTGTCTGTGGTTTCTATAAAATATATTTGAATTTGCAAGGCCATCGAAAATCAATGTAAAAATGCATGCTACTTAAGTAGTCACTTTTTACCGAGTGCGGTTTCTACAAGGGATTGAATAGCAGTGCATTCAAAAGCCGACATCCTGCTGAGTCCGAAATATTATAGGGTTATGTCATTGGATAATCAGTATTACAGCCGCGTTTAAGTAATCCTTCCTAATCGAAAACGCATTCCAGACTTTCAGCCAACATTTCATGAGATGGGTTATTCATTGTGCGCCAATATTCGAAAAGAGACATGCCGGAAACCTAGGCGCATAGGACGCGAAGACTTCGCAGCAACTAATTCAGACTGATGGGTATGGACAGTATGCTGATTGTGAAAGATCCGAGTAATTAGCGAAAAATTAAATAATAGTATCTAGGGTAACTCCTTCAGAGAGCTTCAAAAGCGCGGACGAACGT